ATTCTATTTCTTTCACATTAAGTACTGTACTAGTAAATATGTGAAATGACAAACTCACTTTGAAGGTTGGCTTTCATACACATCAGTATTAAGTTTAGATCAAAAGTTACCTCAAGGTGCATTTACTGTTAACATGACTCGATCAAACAGATTAGAGGAAAGAAGAGAAAAGATCGAACTGACAAAGAACTAATGAAGATGGTACAAAGGTGGGCGCCAAGATCCCTCTGGGATCTCTTGTTTTTGTAATGAAACCTCATAAATATACTGGTAGGTGTGATCGTGACAAGATGGCATTGTGGGCAACTCTGAAGGGTATTACCAAAAGGTCAAGGTCACCAAGAGGTCAAACCAAGGTAATCTTTGTATGAGTCATACATAGAATATGTCAAGGTTTCATGCAAGCATTTAATTCACTAAAAGAAAAACCAAGTTCACCAAAATTATAAACGTACAGCTTTTCAGGCCTGCACTTTATTTTACATGTTAACATAAACTTTTAGCAACAACAATATGTTTAAAAATATTTCAATAAATGTTCATGACAATTGATATACAAACAATGTTCAATATTAATTTTTAATTATACAAAATGTTCACAAAGTATGCATCATGTGTCTATGGAAGTTGGACAACACTATAATGTCCTTATCACAAGGATTTGAAGCATATAAAATACTTTTGAGAAAGATTTCTTATTGAAATCTTCAGATATCTCTTAACACTTCACTGATTGGTCACTCAATTATATATCTATACAAAGTCGATCAGCTCATAACTGTCTTATACAGACTGATGTACAATCTCATAAACATGGCCAGGAAAAACCATGATGGAACTAACCCAGAAACATGGCCAGGAAAAACTGTGATGGAACGTACCCAGAAACATGGCCAGGAAAAACCATGATGGAACTAACCCAGAAACATGGCCAGGAAAAACCATGATGGAACTAACCGTGAAACATGGCCAGGGAAAACCATGATGGAACTAACCGTGAAACATGGCCAGGGAAAACCATGATGGAACTAACCGTGAAACATGGCCAGGAAAAACCATGATAGAACTAACCCAGAAACATGGCCAGGGAAAACCATGATGGAACTAACCCAGAAACATGGCCAGGAAAAACCATGATGGAACTAACCCAGAAACATGGCCAGGAAAAACCATGATGGAACTAACCCAGAAACATGGCCAGGAAAAACCATGATGGAACTAACCCAGAAACATGGCCAGGAAAAACCATGATGGAACTAACCCAGAAACATGACTTTGTTTGAAGACCATAGATATCACAGACTTGGTGAGTGGTGAAACAGCGATACCAGTAACAATGGAGTAGGACAGGGCGGTGTCACCAACTCCATCACAGGAAGTCACCTGAATCACAGAACACGATACAATTTGACCAGCTCGACACTAACACCGACATCAAGAGTCCACCATGTTCATGATGTCCAGCATTGTCTTCTCTCGGTTCTTAAGACGACAGAACACACACACAGAAACATCCCGGAAACTCTCCAGCTGGGTCATAGAAAACGGCTTGCCACATTTGCTACACTGAAATTAAACATTTATTTAGTTACACCAACACCCTTAAAACATTTATATAATTATTCCTATATCATATATAATTACACCAATACTCTTGAAACATTTATAACATTATTCCGATATCCTTTAAACATTTATAAAGTTACACCAATACTAAATGCAGATTTATTTAATTACACTACTGGTAATACCCTATAAAGATTTGTTTTTGATGCAACAATATTTTCATTACATAATACATTTAACCTCTCATCTTACTATAACACATGTACATATACCATAATATATTTGATATCGTCAGTAAACTCCTATTCGCCTAGTTTTATACTAGTTGGAAGTGATCCCTGTAATTACAGCCTGTAACCTAGTCACTCGTTAACTACCTTGATTATCTTGAGACCTATGGCCTTCTTCCTCTCCATGACAACAGGGATTTTGTCAGACTCCTCAACATTCCAGATCCTTATAGTGCCGTCCTGTAACATGATAATACCCACTAGGTAAAAAGCAACAACACATGTATGTGCAGTAGTTCCATCACTGCTCCACAAAACCAACAAAGTGGTAAATGTTTGCATCCAAACAGCATGTCTCTTATGCTATAAATTTTCTTTTTAACATGCATACATAATTACAAGTCAACTTTGTGCAAATAAAATTTTCTTTAAAAATGTATACATACCTTGGAGGCAGACATCACGTACTGCATGTCCTTTGTAAAGGCCACATCAAGCACCCAGTCATCATGGCCCTGAGGAGAGGAAGGCTCAACGGATGAGTAAATTAGCATGATGAGGCGGACCAGGAGTACAGCATTCAGTAAGCAGCATAGCCCGGGGATGGTCAGCAAGTAAATTATAGGTAAACAATAATTCATTATGGTTGGTACATAACTACTAACACTGGTAGCATTTTACACCAGTCAGTGGCCATGGGGAAGTGTGCTTTTAATTTACATATTACACATAAACACAAAAATCCAATAGAACCAACAGGTTATATAGGTGTATACAGAGTGAATAAATAATCTTATCAAAACCAGGTCAAATAATGGTGTTATGGTGTAATGTACTCTTGACTGTTGTTTGATAAACTACTTACATATATAATATATTTCAAATTGGGAGAACTCTATCATAAATATTGTGCTTTCTTTCTTAATCCAGAGCAAACTTTCACCTGTAACTTGAGTTTCTGAACTTGGTTCTCCACATCCCACACCACAACAGTTTTGTCGTAAGAACCTGTGGCCAACATCAGACCATCATTGCTGAAACAGCAAGAGCTGACTGACCCATCATGGCTACCAGACAGGGCCAAAGGTCCCTTAGATCTGTGAACATAGCAGGGATGAAAGGTTAATAAAGCTAACAAGACATGGTGGTGCAAGGTGCGATGCATCAATGTAAACCTGACATATGTTATATATTATTACAGCAAAATACATGATAGTTTCCATTTTATCAAATTTGTGAACATGATTTTATCATCATTTATGTTTCACCACCCTGATTTGTGAAGATTGACTTGATTGTACACACCTGTAGCCTCCTGTGGCAATGTCCCAAATACTGATGGTTTTGTCCCAGGAACCAGTAGCAAATTTACGCTCATCAAACGTCACATCACAGGAAGATATGACATTGATATGTCCCCTGTTCAATACAAAATATTCCATACAATGTTACCCGTTTTATGTGGACAGTGTTAATCACTTATTTGCACGACTTTCTAGTGTGCACTTTAATAAAAAGAAAAACAATAATTTTCACCGAACAAATACATATAAATTTATCTTAATGGTAAGTGTTGGTAAATGTGTTGGTGTGAGTCTTTCAATTACTAGGGTACATTCGCGTATCCGGTTGAAAGGGTTAAACCGGTTGAACCTGTAAAGAAAACGACAGGTACGGATCTGGACCGAAGCTGACCTCAGGAAAATTTGGCATGTGTAGATTGAGAAGTCCCGACGCACCTGACCGAAACTGAAATGCTGACTTTTGAAAGTTAGCGTTATTTCTTTCTAAAACAATGTCAAGCCACATGTAGTTTTTAAGATACGTTATATAATTCAGTGGACGGATGAAAGAAGGTCATAATATTCTTGAAACACTGTTTTTTATTCTCCGAAACTGTGCATCTTTAGCTCTGCTTATTGAACGGTCCAAGTGCGTTCGTTTATCGTGCAAAATGTCTGCGCCACACGTACCGTTTCAACCGGGATACGCGAATGTAGCCCTAGTCTTGGTATATAATACAGTAGATATTTGCTATATCAAAACGAAGATATCTTTTACAACTCCTGGCCACCCTTCTCCACACCAATTCAATATTGAGAAAGTTGGCAGATTGACAGACACTTACTCCACTTTGATGGTGACCTTGTTGGAGCGAAGGTCAAAGAACTTTGCTGACTGGTCCATAGAGGTTGTGATGACCTTGTCATCAAGAGGGGCAAACTGACAGCTCGTGATTGTGCTGGAGTGTATATCTGTAAACGGTAATACTAGACTTTTACACCTAAGTCACCATACAGTAGGACTCAAATCATATCAATAAATATTGCATTATTATCATCAAATAAATGATAATAAAGAAAAAAAATATTTTGACTACTACAAGTTCAAATATTAGAAAATTAGCTTGCAGTGTGATAATTTCACTCTATGTTTGTTAAATCAGCATTTTTGCCCTTCACATTTCATAACTACCCAGTACATGTTTTATATTTCTCACATACAGAAGTATATTATTAGGACTACCTTCAATATTGTAGATAAGTTCACCCGAGTTGGCATCCCAAATTTTCAGTGTGTTGTCCAAGTCTGATCCCGAGACAACCAGTTTCCCATCATGTGAAAACTTACAACTGGTCACTACTCCAGCATGCTTCCCCGACCACTGAAAGTCAGAGATGGAATATATGTACAAATGCTGTACACAGTTGTTTTTTGATGTAGATCACAAATTTCATTAAAATTTGCATCCAGCTTATATCCATAGCAACAAATTTTCCCTTTACAACTGATGGTATTTGAAGCATATACTTCTTATCGTAATATACAGGGTATTAAAAATAAACTCATCTTTCCTGTACATAACAACTAATAGTCAATATTCAATATCTATATTTCAATATTATTTTTCAATTTTTCGTGAAACTTTTATGATAAACATGCTAATTTGCTCATAATACGAACATAAATGACAAACAGATGAATAAAGTGATGAGTTCAACCTTACCAACATGTTCCCTGACTCCACAACCTTACCAACAAGTTCCCTGACGCCACAACCTTACCAATATGTTCCCTGACTCCACACCCTTACCACCATGTTCCCCGCCTCCACAACCTTACCAATATGTTCCCTGACTCCACATCCTTACCAACATGTTCCCGGATTCCACAACCTAACCAACATGTTCCCTGAGTCCACAACCTTACCAACAAGTTCCCTGACTCCACACCCTTACCAACAAGTTCCCTTGCTCCACAACCTTAGCAACATGTTCCCTGACTCCACACCCTTACCAACAAGTTCCCTGACTCCACACCCTTACCAACAAGTTCCCTGACTCCACATCCTTACCAACATGTTCCCTGTCTCCACAACCTTACCAATATGTTCCCTGACTCCACAGCCTTACCAACAAGTTCCCTGACTCCACACCCTTACCACCATGTTCCCTGACTCCACAACCTGACCAACATGTTCCCTGAGTCCACAACCTTACCAACATGCTCCCTGACTCCACAACCTTCCCAACATGTTCCCTGACTACACAACCTTACCAACATGATCCCTGACTCCACAACCTTACCAACATGTTCCCTGACTCCACATCACACACTCCAATCTTCTTATCCCAGCCACACGACGCAAACCTTCAACAGAGCAGTATTAACAGATTACACATACTGTGAAGCTAATCGATTTCAAAGTTTGCTCCAGTCTAACTTTCCTCTTTTCAGCTTCTGAAGGATTTATTTATCACAATGGCTAATAAAAATTACAACTTTGTAAACTATTCATATTAATTCAACTGTGATAGGTTAACAATTGATGGTGTGAAAATTTAATTTCAAGGATAAAAAATATATTCACCAAGGGCGATACTAAAATCAAATACCGGATAATTACCATGATGGCTAACTGGTTACTCACCTGCATCCATTGTCGTTGATGCTGACAGCACTGACCGAATCTGAATGACAGTTGTAGCTATTAGTTACAATGCCTGTGTCAATGTCCCATATCTTCACTGTCTTGTCTGAAGATCCCGATAGTATTTTGGTATCATTGTCGATATACTGGCAGGAGTTCACACCACCAAAGTGTCCCCTGAATACTTTAATCCGCACCTGGAAATTAAAGATAAATTCATTTCAGTCAAAAGCTTTGTTTAGGTTGATGTTTGCATTCATGCAGCTACATTTATCTATGTAATATCTTACTTGCCCTGGCAACAAAGGTGACTGGTCATTGAGGTCACCAGCATTGAATCATATACATCCATGGTACCCGAGTTTCCTATGGCCCTGACACCAGACTTAGACATTTTGACACCAAACATCTATCTGTCTAGTGTCAGGGCCAGAGGAAACTCCGGCTACATCCATCGGTACTTTTTTGCTGGGTATCAAATATATATAGCAGTAGCACTGAGATATATTTGTAAGTAGCCTGAGTTTCCTCTGTCCCTGACACCAGACTTAGACATTATCACAGATAGATGTCTGGTGTCAGGACCAGAGGAAACTCAGACTAATTTCAAAGTTGTTAGTGGCTAATGTAGGTCTAATGCAGATAACTTTTCCTTGCTACTGGTGTAAAGTAAGTTGTTAAAACTGAAATTGTTATTTTCAGATGTGATCCCTGCGAAACAATAGCGCTCATTTATGCTGCCAAATCGGTCAGTCTGATTTAGTTATCTTCAACAAGGGATACAAGCGAGAATGAATGCTAGTCGTTTCAGTAACAGGTCGTTTCGGGAGTCCCGGAGACGTTTTGGGACATAACACAAGATGTTTCTGGACTTAATCAAGTCGTTTTGTGACAAATAACATTTTCACTTCTAAATTAGATTTCCCTCCCGTTTCATATAAAGTCCTGTAAAAACACAAGTATGGTTTTAGTCTATGACCTGTGTCACGACCTACCCGTGCTTGGGATCATTACCAGGTACTGTTACCAGATTGCTAGAGCTTAAGGATGTACTCTTCTGAGGTTTCAGTCACGTTCAAGTCTCGTTTTGATCTGGTGTAACGGGTTTTTGTAATATTTAACAAATTATGATAAGTATAATAGCAAACACACATCTAAAAAACATGTAAAAAAAACTAGATGTCTGTTGTGCGTAGAACATTTTTTACAAGAATTTTTAAAAAATGACCAATTTGGTGGCCATTTTGAAAAAGTGTATTTATGTGAGTTTCTTGCGCTTCACAAAGGGCCAAAATTCACCTTTTTTGACACTAGATTGATCACTTAAATTGTCATTGTGTCACCATTTTTAATTGTAGCAGGTTCAATTTTGCTGTACAACTTTATAATGTTCAATATGATCAAAATAATACGCAAAAAAGTGGAAAGTTATATATTATTGTTATTTTTTTTACATATTAGGGTAACTGAAGCACTTTTGATTTTTGACCCCGAAAAAGGTGAAAAACAACACAAATAATAATGGGACAAAAAAAGAAGCACACCGACACCCCATTTTTGTGGCTGTTTTAGAAAAAGAAACTCATTTTCTTTCGATTCATTGAATACAAAAAAAAGTTTATTACAGGAATTTTTTATATCAAGCGTTTAATCGGCAAAAAATGTGCATTTTTTCATTAAAAAATAAGGGGTAGGGGTAACTAAAATCGCATTTTTGAGTAAAATGAATAAGTTTAAGACATTTTACTTCCATAGTTTCAAAGAAAATAATATTTTTATCAATTCTACAAACATTCATACATATCTGATAACACACTTGGAAGAAATTGTATGAATTTGTTCTGCCAATGGTCAAACCCGAAAATTCACCTAAAATCACATATTGTGTTAAATTGGTATCTTTGACCGATCATAGCACAAAAACAAACACACCGACATATAGCTTTTTTTGCATTTTCTACTATGCCATTATCTCCTTTTTCCAAAAATCAATATAAGAAAAAAAGTTTAATACAGGAATTTTTTGACTTCTCAGAGGTGTACATCCTTAAGGGGATACCTACCAACATTTACCTGATTGACAGTGTGTTGTTACCTGGTGAAACTAATATCATTATTAAATACAGAAAGGAACTTTCAATTTAACATTCAATTTCTTTCGTTATTGATACACTGTAGGTTCCTTGTTTGATATTGTTATATCATGATTTCAATTCAATCTATTCTCCATTATTGACATGAAGAGACGAATGAGATAACATTGATTTTAACAATGTTTTAAGCATTTTATTTTGCTATATTGAAGTTAAATTTCACAAAAGTAAAAACGTGAAATATGTAGACTATGTTTTAGACATGTGAAGCAATGTTCATCAAATCCAGCAATATGTTTTGAACAATGTTTTTATGTTTTAGGGACCCCATTGGAATTAAGCCACAATGTGGCTTTATGGGTCATCCCAGGTAAAGGCCTAAATTAATCTAATCCAATCCAGTTTTAACACCTGACTGACTTCTAGTCTTATGGCATACAAAACTTATGAAGAAGATCTCATTCTGTGATAATATATATATTTATGTCCAATCTGCAAAATGTGATAGAAGTGTATTATATGTCTGTGTTAGTATTATATCTATTTACTTCATGTAATGGTACATGTATGATGGGAGAATCCTACGATACGTCGTAATATTTTTTACCCAATCCATTGTTCAAATATATTTGTCAATAAAATATGTTTAAAGAATAAAGACAATTGTATCTACAGAAAAAATAAATGAAAAATTCCGAAACTACTTTTGACATGTCCCGAAACGACCCGAAAAAAGTCCCGATACGACTTTTGTCTTGTTACCGAAACGACCTGACACCACAATGATGACAAATTTAACAGTGAATCAATTTAGGAAATATGTAAAATTAAACTTGGAACTGTGCGTTTTAATTAATCATGAATATGTTCAAAAGGTAGTGCCAGTGGTACAAATGTAAAGCATAAGATATCCTCGATATAAGACCACAGTAGCCTATATAGCTATGATAAGGACATTACGCACAGCACACATCAGTCGAAAATGCATGTCATTCTTGGCATGTATTCAAACCTGTGCTAATTGTTCGTGTTCCCATGTCGCTCTTGTTTCTCTTCCGTCTTCTTCAAAATCTATGGGTGTTGTTTCTATGGCCAAAGAGTAACTTTCATCGTCGGACATTTTTCACATTTTCTCTTGCTTCGCGTCCTTAGTTTCCCAAATACTGCTGCAAACGAGTCTAAAGGCACTGACTTCCGGTGATTGTATGTCGTAATTCAATAAAAAAAACCAATTACCTTCTGAAATATATATTTCTTAATAAAAAGACATTGATTGTGTTTAAGTTATAGAATATATATAAATATATTAGTGTCTTCACTTTACAATGTTAGCTCACCGACACAAAATTTACGACATAAGTATGTGACAAGATGGAGGAACAAGAACAAGACGGACAAACAGGTACTAGTATGGAATATGCGGGTTTCCGTCGCCCTTGTGTCTGGATGAAGGATGTATATATATGTTATATGAATAACGTGCATACTATTTATGCTGCTTATATATGCAGATTATATCTTAGTTTGGTTTTATGATTATTTTGGCATCAGTTATGTCGGGGTATCACTGCTCCCTTCCCTTTTGATGGGATGTGACAACTGTACCTACATGTGTTCAAGTACATTTTATTTAAAAGTCGGTACATGGTTATACAAGGCAACACAAGGCTATGGAAGGCTTTTACAACCGTGTGAAATATACGCCTTGTGTAACGTTAAGTGGAGACATTATCGGCTTTCATAATTCCCATCATCAGATAACGATGTCTTAGTAGGGGACTAATCTGGAGACAGAAAGACGGAAATCTGACAACAGGATCAGGTTGTACAGGATCATAATATACTCCAATGTCCCTGGTTTAAGTGTTTGAGCAGTAAAGAGATGCACAGGACCACCATGTAGAGTTTGAAAAATTCGGGTCAGCCTGCAACAGGACAAAGTCTATAATGTCGGTGCATCTTAATTCCAGTGTATATACTTCCATTATTAAAATGGGAAAAGAACTGAAGTCCCAAAAATATAAACGATAACATTAAAGCTATTACAAATAATTAATTCCTATTCCTATTTGGACATGCCTAGAATATTAGTGCAAATTAATCGTAAATTCAGTTGAATAAAAATATATTTAAATGCAGTTATACTAACTAAACCTTATCAACTGATTGTCTTATATCTGATCATAAATTGAAATGGCCATGACGAAATCCTGTGAACAATGAAATTATCGTTTAGAAATTAACAAAGGAAAAATATATTCTAGCATCTTCAAATCAAAAATTCCAACTGAATTAAACATAAATCTGCATGTGATGCTGAGCACTTGCAAAATGTAACATTGAAGATCCAGCTTATAAATCATTCTTGGAGAGGTAATGGAGATCAGCCTGCCACCTTCAAATCATAGAGTTAAAATGAAGACAGGCAGAATAATGCGATAAAGGGAAGAGAAAACCTTGCGCATGTCTGGGGTCAGTGCCAAGTACCAAAATAAGTAGACAGATTATTCAAGGATGAAAATAACATTCTAGGGCTAAGGTTAATCACTAATAATGAGATCCAGATTGAAGGTTATGTCGTGTCTTGAGACATGAAGATAAACATAGCAGAATTTATAAAATGAAGGAAGAGATTGCTTATTTGTCCTTTTTCAATTTACAAGTGTTTTTCTTTCTGAAATTGATAAAAACAATCTCAATATTTAAAAGATGTTGTAGCTTCTGCTTTACTTATAATAAGACTATTCCAAAATGTTAAAAGTTGATAAAACTGGCAAAGTTTTGAAATGCAGCCTGTTGTTAACATAGATGTTCATGAAATGAAAAACTAGGTAAGGTAGCTAGCACTTAGTTTCTGAATAGGCGGATTCCAGTGTCCTTGGCCCAAGATACAGGAGAGTATTAAAGGTGATTTATATGTTACGTTAGGTAAATCAGAATCAATCATAGCAGGATTCTTGAAGAATCCCATTGTATTGACATAACTGGTTGAATAAATTTGTGTGTTACAATTGATCTTAATGTATATAAAATGATTGTCTACCATTTTGTTTACAGACATATGTCGTGTCTGTCGATGTGAGAGTACGCCAGATAAACCCCTGTATCATCCGTGTGTGTGTACAGGAAGTATACGATACATACATCAAGAATGGTAAATATATTCCTTCCTTCTGCTTATCTATATGTTTAGTGTTGATTAAGCTTCTGATTAACATCCATATATATCTACCAGAAAATATCTCTCAAAAAACCATGTCACTGATATTTTCCCTTTCAGATATTATCACAAGACATTAAAGTTTTAATTGTTTTTTAGAATCCTATTACAGCTGTGAAATAATAGTAATGGTAATGTTACAGTACAATAATTCATATTCTGAGTATTTTACAAGGAAAAAGGCTATAGAGCGTTTGAATTTTCATCTGTTTAATATCTGTGCATATCTTTTTCAGTCTTTTACAATGGTTAACTTATAGTCGAAAAGAATACTGTGAACTATGCAAGCACAGATTCACATTTACTCCAAGTAAGTACAAAAGGTTTCATGTAAAAAATATGTTTATTGTTTAATAGAATCCATGTATATAGATCTACGTTTGCTTACATTTAATGTGTAATGATATTTTCCAGCACAGCTTCCATTCTAAGGTTCCTCTTTGTGGCACTCATAAGTGATATTGTTATAATTATAGATTTCACTTCCGGTTGTTACACCTATTATCCTGTATCAGTTGTTGTATTTACGTTTGCCTTGTTATCCTCTAGATAATTGTATGCATTAAATAGCTAAGGAACACAATGTTTTCCGATCAGAGACACTTCTCCATTACTGGGAACATAAAGAATAGACCTGTGTTACTTACCATGAAGGCTAAGCATAGTTTCACTGTTTCTATTTCTAATCAGCATTAGGTGAAAGTATGCTTACCTATGTATGCCAAATGAGGTACATTTTTCAGTGAATCTGCATTAAAAACATAACTTCCAAAAAACAATGACTCCATTTATAGGCTAGAAAAACTACACTGCTGCTCATTTTTAACCTACCGGTATGTTCTAATTGCATTTTCTAGTTTACTCACCGGACATGCCAAAGCGACTTCCTATCAAGGATATCTTCAGCGGCCTTCTCACCAGCGTTGGTCGCGCCATACGCTACTGGTTCCACTACACATTGGTGGCATTTGCATGGCTGGGAGTCGTACCCCTCACTGCCTGTAAGTCTGTGTGAAGGAGTACATGTGGCTGTCAGAAAGCTGGGCTTTGTAATTTTAATGGGATATCAGGTCTTTTCATAGCTGCAGGTTATGTATACTTACACCCTCATTGTAAGAGAAGTTTTGGTCACCGCATGCTTTCTGTAAGGTGGCCAATGGCTTCCAAAACAGGGTTATTAATACATATACTCTGTAATAAATAAAACTGTATACATTTCCTTGTACAATACCCACACACTAACATATACTTGTTTGTTACAGGTCGTATTTACCGATGTCTGTTCACGGGGTCGGTCAGTTCACTCCTCACATTACCACTAGACATGCTTTCTACGTAAGTATTGCTACACAGATATGAATGCTGTTATAGGTATACATATATATAAATGTATCTTTCAGTTAATTGAGAAAACCACATTAAATATATTCATGGTGATAAAATATCCATAGCTGTTTTATGTACTACTATCTCAGACTGATATGTATGTGTACACCTTAGAATGTTGTTAAATGTTTGACACTTTTTCTTATTTGAAATGAAGAGATAGTTTTTGAAAAGTGTTGACAGCTATTTAAAAACAATTCCATGATAGTTTACTCTAATCAATGTTTCAAATGGTGTACTCTAATGAAATAACCTGTTTCTGTTTCAGTGATAACTTAGCATCCGACTGTTTTCATGGCTGCTTTGTGGTGACATGTACACTCTGTGCTTTTATAAGTCTGGTGTGGCTACGGGAGCAGATTCTACATGGAGGGGGGCCAGATTGGCTGGAACAGGAAAACCCTGGGGGTAATCAACCTAGGGTAGGTATTGGTGATGTGGGTATTGGGTAGACTGGCTAGAACAGGAAAACCCGGGGGGTAATCAACCTAGGGTAGGTATTGGTGATGTGGGTATTGGGTAGACTGGCTAGAACAGGAAAACCCCGGGGGTAATCAACCTAGGGTAGGAATTGGTGATGTGGGTATTGGGTAGACTGGCTAGAACAGGAAAACCCCGGGGTAATCAACCTAGGGTAGGTATTGGTGATGTGGGTATTGGGTAGACTGGCTAGAACAGGAAAACCCGGGGGGTAATCAACCTAGGGTAGGTATTGGTGATGTGGGTATTGGGTAGACTGGCTAGAACAGGAAAACC